GAAGGTCCTGTGCTCCTCGTAAAATGGCTGAAGTCTCGAGTCGGCAGCCATCTGCGCGAGGCCTCTGTCGCCGACCTGTAGCATCAGCCAGACGAGAACGGACACCCGGCAGAGCCGCAGTCCTGCCATGGTTCGGCAGGCCTTCTAAGGTTACAGGTGACAGCTCTAAGGTGAGTATCACGTCTCAGGTGTGTGTGCCTTTAGAGTGCCCGGTGCCAGGACCGGGCGTGGCCGGCCCCCGGTGCGGTCTGCCCCAAACGCAGCGACGTCGCGCCGGCCGCACCCCGCGTCGGTCGAGCGGCGCGCACTGCGACACTTCGCGTGCTTGGCTGTTAGTGGTGCCAGTCGGAATTCGGACCTTCGGAATTACAATTTTGTCCAATGTCCAATACAAAATTTGGTCGGACAGCTAGGCATTGGACAAGATTGGACAGTCACTTACCACACCTCAGCCCTTTTATAATGTAATCAGTGGCGGCGCCACGAATTTTCGCCAGTGGGGGCAAGATTGAGGTGACCCGACTGTTGTCTGATACGCCGATCTGCAAAATCCATGAGCATCGCGGGCCCGGAAGGGGGGGGGGCGTTTTCGCCTCCCCCTGGCGAATATTTCCGATACCTCACGAACGCTTAGGGATAGAAAGACGGAACTTACTGTACCTTATCCTCCATTAATTTGACATCTTTTGAAGCAAACAAATTGGACCTAGCCTCCTTGATAACGTCTCAGGGCCGATTTTTCTAGACTCCTGTACGGCAAACTTCGGCGTCACAGACGTGAACTTCAACCAGATGCCCAAAATAGAGTTTTAGAGATAAAGACAAATTACGAGCACGGTTGTGTAGCAATTGACCTAGAAAAATTACTTGGTGACCTCAGGTCAGAGGTCAGGTCAACGACCCTGAGCTGGGATTTTAGTTTAGTTCGCAAATAACTTCAGCAAAAATGGTCCTAGAGCTACGGCAGTGGTACCTTCGCATTCGTCTTGTCGAGACGCGTCGAATGACATACATGTAAATTGTTTGGAAAAGGTCAAGTTTTATGTTGACCTCATGTGACCTCGAATGACCTTTGGTTGACTTTTACACATGAAAGGTCGTTTGTGATGATTTCGTAGCCACTGGTCATGATTCTGGCATCCATTTTACTCTAAGCATTCATTTAGAGCATCAGGATGGCAAAACATGTCTTAATTATTATGCCTGAGTTGAATAAGTGAAATAGTCTCTAGCAAGGATACTCTTGTGACTTTGACCCTGTGCTCTGTACCAGCCTTGTATCGTAAGTTTAAGCACAAATAAGGGTCCGCTAAGCCCCAAAACATTTCAAAACATCTCGGAATTTAGTATACAAGATATAAGAAAAAATGCAAAGTTTGTGGTCAGTTTTGCGCATGACCGTGACCTTGAATTTGAATGTTATGCACATCATCGGAATCCGAATCCCCAGACTCTCTTCGTTCGTTTGCCATCTATTTTAGCCGGTTTTATACACCATGCCGTCCTCTGGAACACGTACTTTGAGTGAGACCACTACAAAAGTGCCGGTTTTTGCCTTTGACCTTGACTTCTGACCTTGAAAATTGGCCTGAGGTAAAAAGAAAAAAGTTTAGGTGCTTTAGAATATTCTCGTAGATACCTTTCGTTTGGTACCATTTTTGTTTCTGTAGCTGCCTTATTAACGTTGTTAGACAGGTGGGGGGGGGGGGAGAACTACCCCGGGCTGCGGTGGGGGGGGGGATTACCCCCCGGGCCCGGACGGGTTAGGGTCGCGAACAAATAAAACTATTAAACTAGATTGCGAGACACAAGCCTGTGAAAACGTTATGTTGTTCGTTGAGATGTAAAATGGTGTATTCCTCACAACAATAGTCGGTACCTAGTTCTCTCTTTCCCATAGAACGTATATGTGCGATTCTCTCACAGACGATTAATACCTATACCAGAATAAGCTCCATTAGGGCGACCCACATACATTTCCAGATAACCCGAACATACATACCTATCACATTTTGTCATACCTCCCTGAGATCAGTCTCAGTCTAAGGGTTCCCAAAAGAGGGTGATCTCTTCTCTGGCCGACTTTTAACAAACTGCCTCTCAACCTCCTCGAGGTCAAGCTCGAGGGGCGAGGGCAGCCTTCTGGTGAATGAAAATGAGTAGGAGAATGAGTGGGAGTGAGTAGGAGATATGCGACAGACGGTCCGAGAACGAATGTTCTGCTGATGCACTTGATACGGGGACCGTAAAAAACAGGCGTACTAACCGCCTATCATGAATGTTGCACCGGTCTTCTGTTCCCTTGTCAACATCAGCCAAATTTTGTGGGGGCAAAAACATAGTCTTGCCCCCACGGCCTCCTGCCAGTGGGGGCAGTCTGCCCCCCACTGCCCCCACGGTGGCGCCGCCCTTGAATGTAATCGTTTATTGCGCTGATTGACGAATAATACTATAAAGCTAAGATCTTGATATGATAAACATTTTGGGCTGGTAATAGTGCGTTAAAAGCAAATTGAATAACGAAGTTAAGGGTGTTTGGAAAACAAATATTAACAAATAATTGCGTAGTTTTCGGACACTTTTAGACAAATGGCTGGCTTGGACATTTTTGGATGGACAGTCGACGAAACTATCCGGACATTGGCCGAACATTTGACTTACATTTTCTGAAACTGACACCACAATTGGATATGTATGACAGCAAGCTGAAGTCATGCCAGCTAAGTAGATAGCTACTCCTCCAATAACTATTTTGTCACTTATAAGGAAGCACTGGAAACTTTTGAATGTTTCCTAGTCCTCAGATATGGCGCATGAATAGGCGTCAGTGCACTCTTAGCAATCTGCTGCACTGGTGAATCCAAAGGGGGGAGGTATTTGGGGAAAGACTCCCTCCCCCCCGACTCGCGGCGCCCGAAATCGATTTAATTTACCGTTTTTTTTCTACGAATGAAAGAAAATTCAGCAACTTTTTAGTGCTTGAAAGTTTAAACCGCATACTAGCACATGAGGAATCGTAATCCAGAGTGTTCTGGAGTTTTTGTTGCGGGGGGGGGGGGGGGGTAACCTGTCCAACGCAACGTCCAAGGCCGCCTTTCTGAATTCACCTAAAGCAGACTGTATGTGCTTGTGTTCGAACGTGATGCTGAGTGATGTGATTTCCCAATATTTGTGACATGGTCACATTTGAGCTCATCTACATTTGTTGGCCCGCGCACCGACGTGGGGGCGGATATCCACCCCACCCCCCTTGAGGTTTTTCGTAGATAGCTGGAAAACCGCGGCGCGTAGCGCCGCGAAATTGGGTACAAATATTCTCTCATCAATTTTACACATGGTGTGCAAGTTTGAACCTCCTAACTTTTAAGGTCAGGTCACCAGGTCACTTTGAACGACCCAGCCTCAAGTCACTTTTTTGCAACTTTGTCACTGTGCCAGAGCTACAGTAGATGTCGGAGGCCTTTGAAAGTCGCAGGATTTTATAAGGTCATTAGTAGCTATAATTTGCATATCTCGGAATTTTGACATCGATGACCTAAGGTCAGGTCAATTTCTCGACCTCCCCATTAGGTATACGTCAATGGGGGAAAAATCAACTCCCTGTTTTTACCACTAAAACGGGTCGGAATGGCCCCATAAACCATACATGACTTCATATACGATCAACCTTCACTACCTTGAGGTCTGTTTTGCTGTTGGCAGCTGTAAGGTCATGTGACGTCATCATAGGTCACCAAAGGTTTGTTGCCAATATCTCCGTACAGGAACAAGATACAGCCGCGCGGATGGTCTCATTGTGTTCAGCTCGTCAAGGCGCATCGAATGATATACATGATGACCTCGAGTTCACGTGACCTGAGGTCAACCTTTGACCTTGACCTTTCGAGGTCAACATATATATCATTCGATGCGGATTGACGAGAGAATCACGATGATGCCTTTAGTTTGTTCTTATCTTGACTAGTTAGAAAATTATTCGAGAAAAACTCTCTCCATATCTAGCGCCGCCATTTTGACTTTTTTTACCCCTGTGACGTCATCTTTGACCTGACCTGAATATGACCTTTGTAAAAATTGTAGACCTTATCCGTGCATATCCCATGCCGTTTACTGCTTGTCGCTATCTTGCTTCGTTCTTGAGATCTCGGGGGGGGGGGGGCGGTCATCGGCCCCTCCCCCCGTCGGTTCTAAGTTGGCGCAGACCCCCGTCGGTGCGCGGGCTAATTTACCTAAACTGTTGACGATTGGTAAATTCTTAGTTCTATAAGAATATCTCACACCACACCACTTTTATAGAGCTACCTAACGATCGATACCGTACTCATGAAAAATACAAAATGCAATTATATTCATATCATGTTTTTGTGATATAATTGTGTCATGTGCTTCATCTTCTGTGAAATTGCATCGACCGATAAAAATGGCTTACAAATTACATCACTGGTCACTTACTTCTACTCGTAACGAGCTGCATAATTATACCTACTAGTATATGGCTGCCGATTTTCGCTTTAGCTCAGGAATGCAAGGCCGCCAAGGAATGTCTAGGGATCGTATCACCTCTCTTTGACAAACGACGAAAATTAAGCATGCAGAAACTGGTTGGTTCTGGCAAGTTTCAAGCTTGGGTCACCGCGCCAGGACATACATAATATATTTGTATGTGTGCATGGATGCCAAGCGACAGGATGGATTTCGCTTTGAGGAACCGACTTGGATATTGCGCTGGAACCGTAACGACTAACGACCATGCCGCTGTGTAAGGTGTGGGCAGCACTCACTCACCGGGCCACTGGTAATGAATGCTAACCGTGTGACGTTGGTGCAGCTGAGCGCACAGTAATTTTTATGTGCGCTCAGCTGCACCACCTATGGCGCACAGGCCATAGATGATTTTTACGTGGAACAACTACAGAGGGTATATTCATATGATTGCAATGTGTAGGTATCATGCATAACTGCATTACCTTTTGTGGGCGAGTGAAATACGATGAGCAAATTATGGCACCTTGTATTCGCGTGAAATAACTAGCATGCAATAGACATACATACCTACATAGCTTTTTATTATTGAACATTATATCATAATGTTTTGTTTATATCTTAAAACATCAAGCAGAAACTCCCCGTACATGGGTATGATCAATGATCATCCCAAGTCTTCTTCGTAGCGATTGCTAAAGCGGACAAGCAATGCATTCATGTCACTACCTAAATATCACTCTTACGTGTCCTCAACGTCAACGTTGCGTTTACACATGAGCTGTACTTGCGTGTCGTTCGAACAATGATTTTATTTGCGACATGAACCATCACATGAAAGCGCCAGACGGAGCAACCCAAAGCGTAAATAGATTGCGAGAAAAGCAAAGCGCTGGCAGGAAATTCGGCAGATTTGACTGCTGCAATAAATCCCGCTATTTCAGCGTGATTTGACACATGAATCTGTTCACCTCGGCGCATCCCTCGTCGTTCCAAACACCCGAACTCAGCAACAAACCACAGTTCTCGTTGCCACTATCGAGGCTCCAGAAACCACGACCGTTGTTGGGCTCTCCGGAAGCCCAATTGGTAAAGTCAAGCGGGGAGCCGTCCACCCAGGCCCACTGAGTTGCGCTCGTAGATGACGAGCTTCTTCTGAAGAGTCCGATCCAGACAGACTGCCCCACCGACGACGCCAGGGATGTGACGAGGTCGTCGTTCTCCCTGTGAACTGACGCCAGCTGCGAACGACTATCCATTGACGAGCAGAGTCGCTTGGCATATGTCCAGGATGCCCTACTGGAAGAGATGATGTAGCAGCCGTCGCTTCGTCGGATCCAGCCGTCCGGACAGGCTTGTCGGGCGGGGCTTCTTAGCATGTTCTGAACGGAGCTCAGATGGTTCTGCAGATCCTTCAACTGCTTCTCAGTGTTGGCCGCCGTGGATGTCAGCAGGTCCTTCAAGGAGGACATCTCTTGCTCTTGGTGACGTTGAACCGCTGTCATTTGCTGCTGCTGTGCTTGCAGATCTTCTAAGAGTTCATTAAGGCTCTGACCGGATGTCACAAGGCTCCTGAAAACTGACGACTGCTCATCTTCCTGATTTTGAATATCGTCCATCCGATTACTTAGACGCTGCTCGCTTGATGTCAGCTGAGTCTGGAGGCTGGTCATCTGGCGCTCACCGTTTTCAACCAGCTGGTTCAGGAGCGGCGTGATGGGCTGAAACAGCTCCTGGAGATGCGCCCGGTGTTGCCGGTGCTGGCTTTGAATGGCGTCCACTTGTCTGTTCCGCTCTGAGGTGACCAGGTCATCCAGATCTGACATCAGTCCACTGCGCTGACCCTGCAGGTGCGCAGCATGTTCTTGGAGCTGCCCCTGAAGATTGACGAAACTTGAATTAACTTCACGTAGCAGGTCGTCGTGTAGCTCATTGATGCGGTTCTGCTCCTTTCTCAATTCCTCAGTCATGCCTTGTGCAGCGCCTTCGGAGCAGGTCTTCTTCAACACGTGGAACAGCATGTGGGCTAGACGAGATCTCGTCCCAGTGAGGCCAAAACTGGCGGCAGCTGTGGAGCGAGTAGCGGGATCGGCTCCCATGACGGCGGGTCCAGTGGAGGTAGAACGTGCAGGCGTAACAAAGCTGGCGTTGACGGTAAGGCCAGGACTGTCGGAAGCAGCTGCAAGATTGGCGGCTGGATCAGAGCTGGCGTTGACGATGAGCGCAGGACTGTCAGAAGCAGCTGTAAGATTGGCAACTGGAACCACGATGAGGGCAGGACTGTCAGAAGCAGCTGCAAGATTGGCGGCTGGATCAGAGCTGGCGTTGACGATAAGGCTGTCAGAAGCAGCTATAAGATTGGCAGTTGTATCAAAGCTGGCGTTGACGCCACCAAAATCGCTCCCGACGTAGGACTCAGACGAGCCACCAACATCAACACTGCTTGTGGTGTAGATACCTTCACTGGCTTCAGCCTCAGCGCTCATGTTGGTGGTGGCAACTGTCGAGCTGACAACTGGATCATAGCTTCCGCTGCTGAGTAGACTCGGTATCATCTCCAAGTCAGGGTCTTCCGTTGTAGGAATCCTTTCGGCAGCGGCGAGGCCGAACTCAGCGTCGTCGAGGGTGGCGGCTGATCTCAGCATGAACACGCTGAACGTCAGCAGGACGAGCTCCATGGTGAGTCCTCCGACGCTCAGCTGGCTCACAACTGACCAACGTCTGACGCCGGAGCCAGCTCGATGGCTGTGCAGTTATGCTCAATGATGTCTGTGTTTATTGAAGGGTGATTCCCGTGTAACCAGCTATGGTGTGTCAGATTTTGTTCCTCCCCCACCCCTCCCCTTCGGGGGAGTCACAGCCCTCGTTTATATGTCCTTGGCATTCCCACGTTCTGAACACAAGGCAGACATGTTTAGTTGACCCGACTGAGCTGAGCTGTTGCAATTATAGTCAGATCCATCGCGTGTTTGAGTTCGAATATTGCATTTACAAACGCAAAAATAGGTCCTACCTAAATTTAAATAAAATATAAATTTTTGCATGTAAATTATGCGCAGTTCCAGTGTTCCGCCTAAGAATGGAATGAAGCATCACACCGAGGAACAATGATAGCAAAAAAAACTATCATTGTTGTATGACAAAAAAATGCGATCCAATGCAATGGCTTTCTCAGAAACACCACGAATTTCTGAATTTTCGTTTCAAAATATATCTCCATTTACAAAGCATCACTGTTAAGAAAAGATGTCTGTCTTCCTGCTATGGCTTACATTCCTCTTTCAAGCCCTAATTAGGTCCTTTCAATTTCTTATGGGTAGACACGTTACACATTGCACGTAAAAGATAGCGACGGGTAAGCTTAAAGGGACTATCCCACCTTTAACATGGGGTTTGAGTTGAGATAGCCAAGTTTGCGGCGAGGTTCAGAAACCACTATCTATCTAGGTTGCAACCCCCGCGGCCTCTTGGTGTTGAAGAAATTCGTTCCCTTCATTTGAAAATGGGCCTTGCGCAAGGCCCTATCTTCAACATGGAGCGACCGTTAGTGTGACGTCACCTCGTTTAGTCATTCTGATTTAAATGGGTTTGTTCGTTGAAAAATCGCTTAAAACTTGGTCTGAACTTTGTTGTGGTGCCTACAGAGTAAAAAGAATCAGCTTTATGACAGTAATGTGGCCTGGGGAAGGAGGTAATTTTGGGCTGTGACGTCACATATTTGAAAGTTTGTGTTTGGAATATGGGAAGCCTAAGATGTTTAATGAAAAATAAATGCCAGAACCGTGTTCCTGGTCATCCAATCTATAAAGTCGGGCACAATTTAACTGGTTTTAACAACATTTTAGAAGGTGGGATAGTCCCTTTAACTGAACTTAAAACATGAATGGCGCTAAAATATCTTGTTTGTATTAAGAGCCAGGTTATGTGGCCAAAGTTCAGCTCTTATATCGCAGATGCCTACGTTTTGAGCAATCGCCAAAAAGGCCAGACTTTTGCACCAACTCCAACCATTCCTTGGCCATGGGGTATTGATGACGTTTTTGTTCTTATGACACTTTTTAACGACTACATTCTTATCTATCATAACTCCCAAGTGACGTTCGCCGGCAATTTCCCTTTATAGCTCAAGGACAGGAGCATCCCAATTATTCACGTTAGCTTGTTTTTTCTGCTAAAATCATGAAGAAGTGGTCCAATCGTAACTTGTTTGTTTTATTTTGTCATGGGAATTGGGCCCTTGCGGTTCATTAAGACCATTGTAGAACCGGGAGGATTATAAGAATTAGAGGGGGAGAATGGTCTGGACAGGCAGCCTAGTGAGTCACCGGGGCTGAGCCCATCCAATTGGGCAGGCCGACCAGCCCCTCCCCCCCCCCCCCAAGCACTCACTGCACCCGACTACGGGTGTGCTCCCTTAGGAGCTGTAGTGCGTTCCAATGGGAGCCGCCCGCTTGGGAACTAGTCGCCTGTCCTGCCTGGACCAAAGGTTACAGCGTGGGGGAAAAGGATTTGAATGTCCTGAAGATTGAAACGACGGAACGAGTGGCAATTGTAGCCCTCATCGCCCACAACACTTCTAGATGTCGGGCCTCGAATACGATGTTCAGCTGTTTTTTTTTTCTTATTTCGTGTTATGTATTATCATGTATTACTATTTCGTGTTTTGGGACACCTATGTAAGTACATCTCGATCATTATCACGACTTCTCTTATGTAAGTATGTATGTGCAACTATGCATGCCCCCTAATTCTGAGAGCGCTGTTGCGGTCAGTCCCGTAGCCTCCCTGCTGGCTGGTTTGTTTGTAAGTGACGACGATTGGACTAGGTTTGACATTCCAACTGCATGCAGCTGGAGCTCTGAAGGGGCCAGGGGAGTCCCTATTCCACAGAGGCTCGGCGGCAGGGAAGAAACCACAACTGAGGTCATTTGTTGACGTCTCCAGTTGCCAGTAACACATCGGCTTGTTAGGGGCCATCCCCCCAGGACATTCCGCTTGAAATTCATAAATGCCGTTGCACTGTCCGACTGGGCTATCCTGTCTATATCCTTTGACGATTAGAGAATGGTCAACGCTTGTTATGACCCCCACATGGCGAAAACCGTCCAAATTTATATAAGTTATAGTAATGCTGCAGTAGGTTTCAACACAAAGTTTTAAGATTGTCTTAGCATGGCGTTTATTTTATCTTTGAGACATGTCAAATGAGCTATATTTTGGCCTTATGAGTTGAACTTGAAAAATCATGTCAAGCGTCAAGCTCGTCTATACCTAAACAGTAAATAGGAATGCCTACGACATAAATAGGCATGTATATTGGAAACCGGAAACCAGAAAAAGTCATGTATCCAATGTTATGGATGCCCTACTATTATGAACTGTTCTGGACTTCTGCCACATCTTGAGTCCCGGAATGTAGATGTTATAGCTTTACATTCCTCGTTTCCGCTAGCTTAAGCTACTTCTCAGGTCAGGATGTCAAATCTTCTTGGTCAGGTGAGGCTAACATTCCAACTCAAGACGGAGACAAAAGTCCGATTGCTTACATCCGTGACACTAACATCTCATGATTCACATAGGAGCTAGGACTAACTAATAACCAGGGCTGCGGAGTCGATGGATTTTCGGCGACTCCGACTCCGACTCCGACTCCGGCTTTCAAAAACCAGCTCCGAATCCGACTCCGACTCCGGGCAGAATTGTCGACTCCGACCGACTCCAACTCCCGACTCCGACTCCGCAGACCGAGCAGGGCTACGGAGTTGACAGATTTTCGGTGACTCCGACTCCGACTCCGGCTCGGGTTTCTAAAATCGACTCCGACTCCGACTCCGACTCCGGTCACAACTGTCGACTCCGACCGACTCCGACTCCGACTCCGACTCCGACTCCGCAGCCCTGCTAATAACTATGGAATATGATTCATATAATCAATCCAGCAGTATTATTGACCTGAGAACATCCGCGATGCAATATGGATCATCACTCTAGCATGTCTTTCAAAAGCTAATGTCTGCTAAGACTGGCTGCTAAGAACCTCCATGACCCCACGTGACTTAAAGGGACCCTCCCACCTTAACATTAGATTTGAGTTGAGATAGCCAAAATGGGGTCCCTGGCTCACAATTACCGGTTTCGGCACTCACAACATCGAGAAATGCCTTAAATCGGAAATATTGAATTTCAAAATTGCAGCATTTTGATTCAGAGGGGCTAATGCATAGGAATACCCCTCTGAATCATGAATGTGTGACGTCAGCGCAGATATCTAACGATTTTTGAATGTTTGACTAAAACGTTTTGTAGCACGCGGTGGTATATGCTGCTTTGCGCGCAACAAGTGCCGCACTTTCAGCTGCCAAACTATTGCTTCCAAATAAAGTCGCTAGGAACAGCGGAGATCCCAAAAAGTAAACAAAAGTAAAAGTCTAATATCTTGAAAACCGGTGAATATTTTTCGGTGAAATTTGGTAGATATTCGTTTTCGCTCTTTCTGAACCGAGCGACATCACTTTCATGCCAATCAAAACTTTTTTGAAGGTGGGAGGGTCCCTTTAAAAAAGGGTCATGTGGGGTCACGGGTACAGTTTTGAAACTCGGTATTCAATAGGAGCCAAGCCGTCCACTTGCCATCGGTCATCGCCAATGAAATAAAACTTCCAACGGGTGCGGTTGGCTTTGGTTTCACAAGTGACAACGCCACCGACCACAGAATAGGTGTGAGCCGATTCTAGCGTCACCTATACCTAAGCAGTCAGTGGACGGACGGCTGGGCCTACAGAAAGATGACGCCACGGTTGAAAAAAGGAACGCTGTGTGATTGTACTTATACTCAGATTTGCTAGCGAAAATTAGATTATTAGTCAGCATTTGCATTCGTATTTCGTAAGTGGCAATACTCTTGCGTGCATGAGTAATATACTTTTACTTATGTCTTTGCAACATCATCATTACACTTCAACTTCATTACCAGTAAAACACATTTTGGGACGACAAACGGAGCGAGCGAGAGGAATTACGAGGGGATATACCTAACTTCAAACTGACGTGTGGTCGGCAGCCCACTAACCGGTTTCTAGTGATGTGCCAAATTTGAGCGCAATCGGCCTAGTGATAACCGAGGTATTGCAATTGTTACAAAACTGACACCCCTTCGTTTTGCAAGTGGCACGTGCATTAGGGGTCACCCAAATGTATCGGAAATAGTTCAATACATGGTAGGAGAAATGAAGCGACCCTACAAAAAAAAAAAAACGCAAGTGAATCGGTCTAGTGGTTGCTGAGATATAAGCATCGCAGAATCGTAACCACGGACGGCCGCTCATACTCAGAAAATTTTTGCTATTCTACGTGAGACTTCGCTCGCTCCGCTTACTCCGTAATCAAAGAACAAATGTTATTTGAGTTTGGCAATGCAGTGTCCTATTAACCCTCGCCCGGCCAGGGGGGGGGTCGGTTGATGCAACCCCCACCCCCGCCCCCACCAAGGTTTATCGCAAATAACGTAAAAACGGCGGCGCATAGCGCTGCCAAATTTAGCATACCCTCTGGGCAACCTTTTGGCACCCATCCTGAAAATTTCAAGTCACAGTCTTTTCAGGTCAGGTCACCAGTTCACAAAAAGCGGTACAAGGTCAGGGGAAAATTGGACTAATTTAGCGGCAACTGAATGACAGAGTTTTTCATTGATAGCGTGAGTGCAGTGGCAATGCGCTACCACATTTCAGACACGACTTGGGGCATCTATTTGTCACATGACCTGATAAT